TTACGCATCACGGCCCCATAGTCGACCTCCGAAAATATGAATATATCCGTGGAGCACGTCGAGTCAATCCCGGGCATCGTTTGCACTATCTCGAACGTGTACTCATCAAGCTCAAGCATCGGGAGCACGGGCGTAGGCACACTAAACTCCTCCAAATGGTCACAATCCTCAATAACACGAAACGACGACCCAAAGGACATGGGAACCACATCATACTCAACATCACAAGTCGACTCATCAATCAACACACACCTCGGGTCAATGACATCACATAATAGCTCGGAATCCTCCTCAACAACGTCCACAAAATCATCAACTACCACATTCTCCTCCTCAATATCATCCTCCCGAGCGCTATCAACATCGTTCGGCACAATCGAATCCTCAAATGAATTCTCTCCCATCCCGTACACCTTGTCAACATCCGACTCCATAAACTCACCCTCAACTATAAAATCAAAGCTCAAAACACTATCACCGGAAGAGGAGTTTGACTTACCTAATGTACAATGCACTGTCGAATCGTCAAAAGAGGGAATTTCCTTAACAATCAACTCGTCGATGTCCTCACTCGTATCTAGAGATTGTGTTCCATCATAAACGAGAGTGAGGCCCACCTCTTTCAAGGAGGCAAACCTATCCACCATAGCTCGAAACTCGCCTTCTAACCGGGTACTCTCTCGAATAACTCTCGCCGATAGAGAACAATATCTACCGAGCGGAATGTGAGATGCGTCCAAATCAAGGAAAGAGACCACGGTAGAGTCGAACTTCGTGAGTGTGAGTTGAAGAACGGATGGAATCGGGATGCACCTCCAACTATTAAACTCCTCAATGATCGACGCGAGGCTCGCAAGTGCGTCTTGAGTTCTCTCCAAAACTTCTTGGTGACGATCGATCGGCCCAACCTCGAAATGAAATGAAGCTCCAAGACTAGATGAACGAGGTTGGCCAACCGATGGGTGCTCAAATACCGGAGAGGGAGAAGTGAAGGACTCGGTTTTTTCTTTTTTCGGATAGGGAGGCCAATGAAGCACGAAGGGATTGAGTGTCCTCCTCCAACTTTGCCATGATCTTTTCTAATTCGGTTGGAGGGGGCCGAGTCGGCTCGGGTGGAGGCATAACATCATAAGAACCGGGAGGTGGAAGACAGTAGAGAGGCGTCTCGTCATAAGCCGGATAGTGATCATAATAATCACATTGGGGTGTGGAATAAGGGTGGCTCGGGCCAAATGAGTTCATCTCCCCTTGAGAATTGTCGGGGTACCCACGAAATGAGCTCCCGGCATAATAGTGAGAATAGGGATCCATCCGGGCTCCTCAAGCGTAATACCTCGCACAAGAACAAGAAAAGCAACCCAAGGCACACGAGGCAAGAGATAGAATAGCACAAAGCGAAACTAAAAACACATAATATTTACACGGGCATGAAAGGAAAAACAAGAGAAATGGAAAATAAGCAAATAATCAAGAGATACACGCAAAAACGAGCAAAATCAACAAAAAGCAAGAGAAACACGGAAACAAACGAC